GGTGTGACCAACAGCACATATTTCCTTCACATCCTCACCAACACACGTTATCTCTCGTCTTCTTGCTTGGAGCCATTCTCACAGGTATGAGGTGATAGTTCACGGTGGTTCTGATTTGCATTTCTTCGATGCTTAGTTATGTTGAGCACTTTTTTCTGTAACGGTTGCCCTGTCTTCTTTGGAAAAAAATGTCTATGCAGTTCCTCTGCTCATTTTTTAAAAATCAGATTTATGTTTTTGCTACTGAGATGCATGAGTTTTTATATATTTTGAATATTGACCCCTTATCAAATATATGGTTTGCAAATATTTTCTCCCATTCCATAGGTTGCCTTTTCATTTTGTTTCTTTTGCTGTGCAGAAGCTTTTTAGTTTGACGTAGTCTCACTTATGAATTTTTGCTTTTGTTAGGAGAGTTTTTAGGAGGCAGAGGAGGAAGAGGGCCTGTAAAGGGGCAGGAACCCCAAGGACAAAAAGATCGGAAGATGAATCTTATTGTGAGGATATAGTTGATAGGATTTGGAATCTGAATGTCCACTGAAAGAAATCATTGATGGTCTACAAAACAAAATAAAAACTGATGCTTTGATGAGTCAAACAGATCTGGTACTTCCTTTCTGTGGACTCTCCTATACTCTGGAGCAACTGGATCCAGAGGACTTAACATTGTCTGGAAACAGGCTACAAAGTAGTTTCACTCTCTAGTGCCACACAAGAATGTGAACAGTAGATGGCACTTTTGTGCTATCCCTAAATTTTCAACCTTCGAAGGGAACTAACCTAAGAATGACTCCTGTTAACATAAAAACAAATTTTATGGTGCTCAAATGGATAAATTCGATTTCTGATTTGAGGGGAATCTGTAAAAGGGGAGCTAATTAAAGCATCAGTTTGTCTTAGGTAGTACCTGGCCTCCAATGATATCTTGGAGGTTTCCATAATGTGAAATACTTGCGGCTTTCTTCCAGATTAATACATTTGCAGTTTGGTTACTGCAAATGTTACTGTAGCAAGTGGAATTGCATGAATTCAAGCAGGCTTGGGGTTAGAAAAAAAATATCGCCAACTTTGGCCATGTTTCCAAATCTCTCTGAGCTTTTGCTGTTTGCAAAGGTGAGGAATAACAAACAAAACAAAGTCAAATCAAACATGGAAAAGAACCATGGGAGGAGCAGTTTGGACTACTAAGAGAACAGTGAAATGGAAACAAAGATGTTCCTTTTTCTTTTTTTTTTTGTAAACATTTACTGTTAGGCTAGGATACAGAATTTTACATGCTTACAATGTGCTTGCAATCATGCAAAAGGCATCATGATTTAGTGATTAAGAGTGGAATCTGGAGGTACCCACTAAAATCTAAAGCTCTGCCACTTCCTGTGTACTTGGGGCAAGTAACTTCATGTCTCTGCATATCAATTTCCTCATTTAGAAATGTACATGGTAATAATAGCATTCTTGTGAGGATTAAATGTCAAATTCTGTAAGTTACTTAGAGGAGTACTTAGCATGTAGTGAGCGCACCATGTATTTTTTGATAACTAGAAAAAAAAGTTTAAAATTTTTTACTAAAGGACTTAGAGAAAAATCTGTACTTAAAACCTTCTCTTTTCTTTTGAACTAGTTTCTACATCCCTACCTTTTTCTTTTTCTCTTCATCTGCTATACCCAAGATCAGACATATCCTGGCTGTGAGAAATCCTGAGGTCTCGGTCATTCCTCAGTGTTTCCAGAATTATTATTTTTGATTGTACTCAAATATATATGACATCAAATTTACCACTTTAACTATTCCTAAGTGTACAAGTTACTGGCATGAACTATGTTCACAATGTTTTCAACCATCACTAGTACCTATTTCCAGAATGTCATCATCTCAAACAGAAACTCTGCACTCATTAAACAATAATTCTCCGTTCTCCATTGTCCTCTACCACCTCTGGTAACCTCCATTCTACGTTCTGTCTCTATGAATCCAACTATTTGAGGTACCTCATATACACGGGATCATTCAATATATGCACCTTTGTGTCCGGCTTATTCACTTAGCATATTGCTTTCAAGTTTCACTCGTATCAGAGTATGTATCAGAATTTCATTCCTTTTTATGACCACATAACAGTCATTGTATGTACCTATCACATTTCATTTGTAGATTCATCTGTTAAACATGTGAGTTGTTTCCACTTTTTGACTGTTGTGAATAATACTGCTATGAATGCTGGTGCACAATTATCTGTTCTAGTCCCTGCTTTCAATACTTTTCTGTATAAACCTAGGAGTTAACTTATTGAGGAACTGCCCATTGTGAAACTTGTTTTCCACAGAGCTACAACATTTTACATTCAAACCAGCATCCAGCACTATTTTTAAGGATCTCTCTCTCTCTCTTTTTGAAGTCAAACCTAGACTGGGAATAAGTAGCAAAGCTTAGATGTTTGCCACAGTTTGTTGATAAGTTGCTGGTATTAACACTTTTGACACATGACCTCCTAGACTAGAGCAATGTTTCACAATGTACACAGCTTAAGACTCCCTTATTACATCTGTAGGGCCCTGATCCCATCCTATACATGTTGAATCAGCATCTCTGGGAATGGGGTCCCCTAAATTATCATTATGCATGCTAAAATATGAAACTCAGAAACGTAGGCTGTTGAGTTCTTGAGGGCAGTGAGAATATCTGCCACCTTTGTACCCCACAGAGCCAAACAGGAGACAGTCAACAAACTTATACTTGGATTGAACTAATACTGAAATCTAAAGGTATTTCCTATCTGCTTAATTGCTATGTACAGTATTTACTGAAACTAAATTCTATCACTAGACAACTAGAACACCTGTAATTAAGGTGTGCAGTATACCTTTCATCTACATCGAACATGTATCTTACCAGGTGTGGTCCATTAGTGTCATTTTTTGCTGCCAATAACGTTTATCTTATATGTAATTTTCAGCTGAGTCCTTCATGCTTTGACGTAGGGTAAAAAAGGATACGGACTTAGAATTGGAAGATGTGACTCTGGGATCTTTGACAATTATATGTAAAATATCTAGGAATCAAGTTTATAATTTGTAAACGTTGGTAACATTTTGTCACTCTATCAACTTCATAGTGTTGCCGAAGCGCAGATGATATTATGTGTAACAAAGCCTGCTGTACAAGGGGCTATAGTTACTATGTGGCCTAATAATTTAAACAAAAACAAAAAGTTTCTTTCCGAGGCTTCCTACAGACTTTAAATATGCTGCCGCGTAAGTCTGCTGCTCTAAAGCAAACGCTAATGAGCAGAGAAGAGAAACACATAACAGAAAAACATTAAGCGGATGCACAACATTCATTCGTTCATTCGGTTTATCCAGCATCTGTATTTACATCACGAAGCGTATTGTGTGAAAATCAGTGATTAAATAAATTAAAATGTGTCCTCCAGAGGTTTAGTTCCTGTGCGTATATTAATAACTATCAAGCTGCCCAACTTCAGATCAAAACTCCCTTCCTCCGTTATTAAGCGGTTGGGGACCCTCTTCAAATTTGTGGGCGCTGTCTCTTTAACGTGTAATTGAACTTCGATTGCATCGATCATAGACTCTTTACCCTTCCTCCCATCGGTCTCATTTCCATCCCGGTGACTGCCCTACTTCACAGTTTCAAGCCGCGGGGAGAGCTAAACTTTGGCTTTCGGGTCACACCTGACCCCGGGGCGTCCCGCCTGCCTGCCGGCTGCGGCCCGGATCCCTCCGGCGCCGGCGACGCCTCGGGGCTCGACTGGCCACGCCTGGAGCGCGGGGTTTGACTGGGCCGCCGTTGTTGTAGTGACCGGGAGGCGCCGCCGCTCTGGGCAGACGGTTCCGGGCGTCGCACGGTCCCCCCCCCGACCCCGTCCTCTCCCTTCCCCCGGTTCCCCCCGCCGGCTGGAGCCCGGCGCCAACCGCGCCTCCCATGGCCTCCGCCCTGGTAAGGAGGGGCTGGGGGGCGCCTCCCCGGAGCTGGTGCCAAGGGCTGCGGAGCCAGGTCGGGGCCGCGCTCGCACCTGGCGGGAGATGGAGGCCGGTGTCCGCAGCCGGGTCCTGAGCCGCTAGCCCCTAGCCCCTCGCCCCGGGGCGTCCACGTCTCACTCTCTGTTACTGGGGCCGACTTCTGGCCAGATCCCGGGCGCTTCTCCCCGCGTCCCGGAGCCCCGGACCGAGCCGGGGCAGCCCTATGGCCCCCAGAATTCTCGGAGGGTTTGCGTGGAGCGCCTGCGTCAGAATCACCTGGCAGGTTTTTAAAAAGTACCGAAGCCGGGGCCCCGACTCGCACCTGTGACTCCGAGCCAGCGGCCGGGGCCCGGGAACGTGCATTCAAATAAGTTGCCCAGGGGGCCCCGCGGGCGCGCCTGATTCTGGGAAGCGCCCATGGCGGGTTTTGCGGGTTCTGCGCGGGAAGCCGGCGCTTGGCATCCCCCGGCAGGGGTCCGGGCGTGTGCTCGCGCAGGGCGCCCCTGCCCCGCAGGCTCGCCGCCAGTGTGGCGGTTCCCAGGCCCGGCTCCGGGGGAGGAGACCGTGCTGATCCCGGAACTCCCGCGTCCGAGGTCTGCACCTGCTTGCAGCACTTGACAACTTTCCTTCCCAGGAGGACCCCGCTCTGGAGCGATATTTTAAGGGCCACAAAGCTGCGATCACCTCCGTGGACTTTAGTCCCAACGGCAAACAACTTGGTAAGTGTTATTCTCTCTTTTTGTGATGAGGTCGGAAACCTTGCCTCCTGTCCACACGGGGCCGCGGGAGAACCACTGAGGACCTGGGTGGAGGTTGAGAGCGGCGGGAGACTCGGGCACCTTGGTCGTGTCGGTCCCGGCGCCCCCATCCCAGCCCCGCAGAGTCGCCTACAGGCCTGGGCCAGGCCGACGACTTTCGCTAACTAACCACCAGGAGGAGTGAGTGGGAAGGGGAGGGGTTTGTCCTCGGCCCAGGGAGGGTGGGGTGCTGGCGAGAGAGTTTGTGAAAAGTTGTGAGAAGAGCAGGAGGAAGCGGGGAGAGAGGAGTTGGGGCTGTGCCGGAGGCCAAGGACTGAGGGGTCTCAGGTCACCCCTGGAAGCCCGCGTGGCAGGAAAGGAGCCGAGCGTCTGCGTCAAAGAAGGGACCCGCTCGGAAGTTCGCTCCTACCTGAGCCGGGAACTCAAATCTGCGGGTCCGCAGCCCTTCTCCTGCGTGGTGACTCTGGTGGCCGCGTTTGCGCCCTGGCCATGAGGATCCGGATGGCCGTGAGGTGGACCTGGGCAGGCAAAAGCTGCCTGTTGCTGGCGCTTTTAACAGTGGCCTATATCTTAGTGGAACTCTCGGTCTCCACTTTGCATGCCTCTCCAGCAGCCGACCTTGCCAGGGAGCGGGGGCCAAAACAGCTTTCAGACCCCTGGGAAAAGGCAGAGGATTTGTCTCGTCCGCTCTACAAGAAGCCCCCAGCCGACTCCCATGCACTTGGGGAGTGGGGAAAAGCCAGCAAACTCCAGCTCAGCGAGGGTGAATTGAAGCAGCAAGAGGAACTTATTGAGAGATATGCCATTAATATTTATCTCAGTGACAGGATTTCCCTGCATCGCCACATAGAAGATAAGAGAATGTATGAATGTAAATCCAAGAAGTTTAATTATAGGAGACTTCCCACCACCTCTGTTATCATTGCTTTCTATAATGAAGCCTGGTCGACTTTGCTCCGCACCATCCACAGTGTTTTAGAAACTTCTCCTGCGGTCCTTTTGAAGGAAATCATCTTAGTGGATGACTTGAGTGACAGAGTTTATTTGAAGACACAGCTTGAAACTTATATCAGCACTCTTAATAGAGTGCGCTTGATTAGAACAAATAAGCGGGAAGGGCTGGTTAGAGCCCGCCTGATTGGGGCCACTTTTGCCACTGGGGATGTCCTCACTTTCCTGGATTGTCACTGTGAGTGTAATTCTGGTTGGTTAGAACCACTTTTGGAAAGAATTGGTAACGATGAGACGGCAATTGTTTGTCCTGTTATAGACACCATTGATTGGAATACTTTTGAATTCTATATGCAGACCGGGGAGCCCATGATTGGTGGATTTGACTGGCGCTTAACCTTCCAGTGGCATTCTGTCCCCAAACATGAAAGGGACAGACGGAAATCGAGAATTGACCCAATCAGATCACCCACCATGGCTGGAGGACTGTTTGCTGTCAGCAAGAAATATTTTCAGTACCTTGGAACATATGACACTGGAATGGAAGTGTGGGGAGGTGAAAACCTTGAGCTGTCTTTTAGGGTGTGGCAGTGTGGTGGTAAATTGGAGATCCACCCGTGTTCCCATGTGGGCCATGTATTCCCCAAGCGGGCGCCATATGCTAGACCCAATTTCCTACAGAATACTGCTCGGGCAGCGGAAGTGTGGATGGACGAGTACAAAGAGCATTTCTACAATCGAAACCCTCCAGCAAGGAAAGAAGCTTATGGTGATATTTCTGAAAGAAAATTACTACGAGAACGGCTGAAGTGCCAGAGTTTTGACTGGTATTTGAAAAATGTGTTTTCTAATTTACACGTTCCAGAGGATAGGCCAGGTTGGCATGGAGCTGTTCGCAGTATGGGAATCTCTTCTGAATGTTTAGATTATAATTCTCCTGACAACAACCCCACAGGTGCTAACCTTTCCCTGTTTGGATGCCATGGTCAAGGAGGCAATCAATTCTTTGAATATACCTCAAGCAAAGAAATAAGGTTTAACTCTGTGACAGAATTATGTGCAGAGGTTCCTGAGCAAAAAAATTATGTAGGAATGCAAAATTGTCCAAAAGATGGGTTCCCTATCCCAGCAAACATTATTTGGCATTTTAAAGAAGATGGAACCATTTTTCATCCACACTCGGGGCTGTGTCTTAGTGCTTTCCGGACACCTGAGGGTCGACCTGATGTTCAAATGAGAACTTGTGATGCTCTAGATAAAAATCAAATCTGGAAGTTTGAGAAATAGAAGAGCACAACGGCACTTTCTTCCTGAGCTGACAAGAGTTCCAAGAAAGTCAAAGAGCCGGTAAAGAACGTCAGTGAAGATTTTATTTTATCAGAAATCACCCACTGGTCATCTGCGAGAGCTCTGTGAAAGCTGTGTTCCATTTTGGTGTAGAACACTGAAAGTGGGTGCATAGGGAGCTGCTGTTTAATCTCTCAAAGTGCCTTATTGATGGGTTGTCTTATTTAAGAGCTTTGTCAATATGGTTTCTTCTCCTTAAAGAAGTTGACTGTGAATTGAGATACACAAAATGTTTAAGTGCCAGACTTAGTATTACAGAATGTAAAAGTCCAAGCAGAATGAGGGATGAGTTATGTTGATGGGTAAGTTCACTACCCATCCCTTTAAAAACAGAACTCATAAATGTGCGGTTGGAGCTATTGCTGTTTTGATTGTATATAGGATTTGAATTTCTTTTAGCCAGCACATTAAATTTTAGGTGTTTTTTTTTTAAATTTTGATTTTCCTTTAATCAGCTAGATTTCAAAGAAAGTTGATTTGAAGGGAAAAGGCCTGGTTTAGATGTATGTTTCATTGGAAGAGGTCATTAGTTTGAATATGAATTTGGAGGTCTTTTTAACATGGAGACATCTCAGAAAAGCATACCCACGTCTGATGAAATGGGGAGATATTTACATTCCATACTTGGTGAACTTGAGCTATTAGACTTCACTGATTTGTATTGATACCTCATATTGCTCTGATTTTGTAAGCTGTCCTCTCTGTGAACTCTTTTTTTGTGTGTGGGGGGCATTTTCTGATTGCACTTCCTTAAGTTATGAATGTACTGGAGAGGGACTCATTCACAATACTGTGCTTCCCTTTGTTAATGCTCAATCGTTTAAAGTAAACATAGTTGTTGGCTCTCTGAAGTTAAACCCAACTGCGTTTACTGAAATGTGTGAAACTGAAAGTGGGCCGCATGCTACAAAGGCTGTGGGATTCTTGTAGGAGTCTTCCTGATTAGGACGTTTAAGGATATATCTTAAAACAAGGAAAAAGACTGTCTGGGCACTGGTGAACGCCACCTTGCAGCCTGTTTTCAGCACCTAGCATCAGCCTGGTACTTAGGCAGCTTTCATCAAGTGGGTGAATGGATGGATGGATGGATGGATGGATGATGAATGAATGAAAGGCTCAGCCATGGAATGTGATTTTGGTCCTGTCCTTTGACCAACAGACTGTTTGGGCCTCAGTTTTCTCATCTGTAAATATGGGTGCTGGATTAGATCTCAAAGATTCCTTCCAGCTCTGAAATGTTTTGATCACACATTACAATCACTCTTGCAGTCTTTATAATACTTTTTATGTCTTCACTTTTAACACAGATAATGTGGTTGAACAACATTCAGTTCAGTTATGAAGCTGGAAAAGAGGGACAGTTTTAAATTAAGTGAGGGTCGCCTGGGGGGCTCAGTCGGTTAAGTGTCCGACTCTTGGTTTCAGCTCAGGTCATGATCTCGGGGGTCATGGGATCGAGCCCCACGTTGGCCTCTGCACTAAGTGGGGAGTCTGCTTGAGATTCTCCCTCTGCCCCTCCCTCCACTCTTTCTCTCTCTTTCTCAAATAAATAAATAAATAAATAAATCCCTAAAAAATAATTAAGTGAGCTGAGCCCAACTGAAGTGGTTTAGTTTGGATTGAGTGGAAAATTGTTGTGGTCAATGTTTGTATTCATTTTATTTTGACAATTATTGAACCAATTTTTGTTTTTAGCTTTACTCTTCAAACTCTAAAAGTAATCTTTTGGGCTAAGAATATAAATATTTACCAAAACTAATTACCTGAGTAAAAGCATACTTTTTTTTTTTTAAGAAAAAAGTATGTTTACTAGTTTTATTTCAATGCTATATCCAGAAATCATAGGCTGAATTTAGAATTAAATCTCAATTAGTTCACTTTGGTCTAGATTTATGAAAAATACGTACTCCATAGAGAATTAGATGACAGTACTCATAAGTAAAGTTGTTTTCAGTGCGTACATGACGATGGGACAGAAGGAACTTTGCAGAATGTGAATTTAAGGAAAGCTTTTAGGATAACCATTTTAAAAAGTAAAAGTGCTATGTATCTTGAATATTTTATTTCTCTTTTGCTTCTTAAAATGAAAATGTGTTAATAACTTTCATTAATTACCAACCTTAAAGTTTATCAAAGAATTGTCCAAATTTCATGTGCAATGTACATGGCCATGGGTGTAATTTAAGAAGGATTTATAAGAATACTCTGAATTTTGCAAAAATGGTTGTTTCTAAACCCACCCTCTCCTCTTGCCCGGTCTACTTTTAATTTAAATTATCCTTTCTCTCTCTCTTTTTTTTTTTTTTTTGTTCTTGTTAGCTCCCTATCAAATGGAAAAACTAAAATTGATGTATTCTGGAAGTACTTATTGGAATTACTTTTATTCCAGTATCTTGCTGCTCTTGTCAAAAGGTGAAGGGGGAGGGGTACTGAAAAGCAGAGTACTTAATTGTTTACCTGTTGCCTAAACTTCAGGCTGTGACCCATTAATCTTTTTGGAAGGAATTTTGGGATAGTGCTTTATTTATACCAATAACTTGAAAGTGTCCAGTTGTTCATTCCTCCTGACAGTGTATGTAACAGAAGAATGAGACTTTCATATTTTCATCTTTAGGCATTTCCAATTTAATTTCAAAAACATACTGTAAAATTACAAACAAAATTTATTTTGATTCCCTAATTCCAATTTATTGGTACCAAAGCTCTCTTCTGCTGTAGACCATGAAGAGTTGACCTTTTAAGTTACTTTACATACTAGTAACAGTTTCAGTAAAATATTTGGTAGACAAGAGGTTTCCATTTTAAATGGTCACTGTCATTTAGTGTCCAGTTCTTTGAGTAGATTGTCTAAATAGGCATTTCTAGCAGTCGTCTTTTAAAAAATTGATAACCTAGTCATCTGCAGGATCTCTGTAACTCAGAATAACTTGTTTGTATAAGAAAATCTGTTTACTCCCCCAGGGGTAGGCTCCTGCATATTCATTGTATGTTGGCAAATCAAACTTTTCTAGGTTGAATACAAGAGGTTATTTTTAAGTTGTAGAGTCTTAGTGGTTTTAGGATCTCAATTTTAATTAATAAAATATTTAGTTTTGACTTGTTTGTCCCTTTAAATTGCTGTGTTAATAATATTTTTAAATGAGCACAAAGAATGTTGAGGTTCAGATTAATCTTTTGAACAATGAATTTTTTTCCTTTGTGATGAGCAGTTTCCATCCTTTTTTTTCCTTTTGTTAATGGTTTTTGCAATATTGATTAAGATATAAAATAAAATGTGTGGCTAATTATTTTTGCAAATGGATTCTAATAATTTTAGTCTATGGGATCATTGTTTCTGTGTACACATTTGTTGATGGTAACAGAGGTGAGTTAAGCTTGTAATTATTTTGCTTGTTTGAAATACAGACAGAATATTAAAAAGTCAAAGTTCCTGCATTATTTTGCAAGGTGTCATTAACCAACAAGCATTCTGAAGCGGTGTTAGCACTATTAATACATGCGTTAACTACTTGTAAACAAACAGGAAATGATCCTGGAGTTCTGGGACCCATTGGGGGCACTATAAAAGGAAGCAGGTGAGCGTCTGGGCACCTTAACACCAATTTCAAAATGCTAGGCTAAAAAGAAATATGTCCATTCTGTAAACCACATAGCCTCACATTTCCCTTAACCTTCTCTCTGCATCACCCCATCCTAAGTACATTTCCTGTCCACCAATCATATCTCTCTTCCTCCTTAGTGATTCTGCCTAATGCCTTACACCCCTGCCTCTCCCCAGCCTGAGACACTGCCTGGGAATCACTATTCTAAGTGAATAGTGGGGATTCACTATTCTAAGACATCAGATGTCTTATAGCCACATTTAGGATATGTATAGTTGAGGTAAACGTATTTTTACTGACCTTTTGGTTTTTTTTTTTTACATAGAGTTTAAAGTGTTACTATAAATATGTATGTTATAATCTTGCTGTCTTACTAAGTGATGGCAACCCTGTGCAAATCATTTTATCTCTGTTTCAATTTCATGAAAGTGAAAAAAGACTGGGAAAATCATAGAGACAGTACATAGGGTTTGCCAGGGGTTGGTGGGGGGGAGGAGTAGAGAATGATTGCTAATGGAGATGGTGGGTTTTTTTTTTTTTGCGGGCAGGGGTGTGATGAGAATGTTCTGGAATTACATAGTGACAATGGTTGTACAACTTTGGGTAAAACACTGAATTATACACTATAAAAGGGTGAATTTATGGTATTTGAATTACATCTCAATTATTTTTTAAATAAAGAAAACTTTAGGGGAAAAGAAGAGGCTGGAGAATTTCATGTATCCCAGAAAAGATTTCTATGTCCCTCTGTGCCTATTAGACTTTAAAACAGGCCAGCAGGATTTATTAATACTTGAGTCATTTTGTAATTCAGCAGAATTAAGAAAGCTAGATATATATGTGAATTAGGCTGTGAGTAGAAATCAGTTTGTATTGGAATTCTTTCCTAAGATTTCAGAGAAACCTCAATCAATTTTTTTGAACAGGAAGTAGGGATTATTATAAAAGGTGAAATGAGTTCCTGAATTGAATAGTTGTCCATGGCAGAACTGAAGAGTAGACAGGTCCTTACAACTTGCTGTTAATCAGACACTACTTTTCCTTTTGTGCCAAGCTCAATCATTTTCTCAGGCTGGCCTGGGAGAGTTGTCTACTGCAGGGGTGTCCTTGGCTGTCTGGTCACTATTCTAACCCTCTTATTTGCATGTATCTAATCTTGTTCAAAGAGGGAAATGGGAGGTACTCTGTTTAGTGCTCCTTTATTTAGTTAATGCTACTGTGTGCCAGATGCTGGCTTATGCTCTGGGTATGCACACAGAGGTGAACAAAACACGTGTGTGTGCTTTTTCAGGGGGTATGAAGAATTCACAGTCCAATGATAGAGACAGATTTTAACTAGGAAACACATAAATCATGTGCAAGTACAACCTGAAACAGGAAAAGAAGTGCATGGTATGAAGAAAAGGAAGAACAGTGGCGACGTAAGTTTATGGGGTTAAGAGACACTCCTTTGTAGAAGTTAGATTTAACTCAAGACCTGAAGGAGGAGTTAGCTAGGCAAAGACTGGAGAGAGAATAGCGTATGCAAAAACCAAGGGTGGGAAAGAACTTGTCCTTGATCAAGGAAATAGAAGAAGGCCAGAGGTGCTTGGCTGGCTCATTTGGAAGAGCATATGACTCTTGATCTCAGGGTTGTGAGTTCAAGCCTGGCATTGGGTGTAAAGATTACATACATACTTACATACGTACATACATACATACATATACAAACAAACTTAAAAAAAATTTACTTAAAAAAAAAAAGACCAGAAGGGCTAGAGCCTGTAAATGAAGAGAGAGAGCTTTGGGAGATGAGTTTGCAGGGGAAGGCAGAGGCAGTTTAGGTAAGGTCTTGGAGGCTAGAGTGGGTCAAATGGTGGCACTTCAAACATGTCCCTGAAACCTGTAAATGTAACCTTATTTGGAAAAAAAAAAAGTTCTTTCCAGATGTAATTAAGTTAAGGATCTCTAAAAGAGATCATCCTGGATTATCTTGGTGAGCCTTGAATCCTATGACAAGTGTTCTTATGAGAGACACAAAAGAAATAAGAGGAGAAGGCCATGTGAAGCCAGAGGCAGGGATTGGAGTCATGCAGCCATGAACCAAAGAGCTTCTGGGGGCCTCAGACATTGGAAGAGGCAAGGAATGGAATCCACTTTAGAACTTCAGAGAGATTCCTGCCAACACCTTGATTTTGTACTTCTGGCCTTCAGAACTATACAAGAAAATTTCCTTTGTTTTAAGCCTCTAAGTTTGTGGCAATTTGTTATGGCAGCCACAGAAAACTAAGACAGAGGCCATGTTTTAGGATTTTGTTCTGAGAGTTGTGAAAAGTTGTTGAGGGGTTTTAAGTAAGGGAATGGCATGATATGATTTATACCTCAAAAAGATCATTGTGGCTACTATGTGGAGACTGAACTATTAGTAGAGAAATCAATTAGAAGCTATATTAGTAATAACAGCAGGAGATGATGGTGGTCTTCAAACTAACGTGGTGATCTGGGAAAGAGAGAAATGTGGTTCTTAGCATAAAGATGGTATTTAAAGTTGTCAAAAATTCAGAAATAACAGAAGTAACACCAAGCAGTCCCTGAAATAGTAATTAGTAAAAGTTTATTGTGTGCATGCCATAAAGACAGTTTGCAAACTGGGAGTAACCCAAAACATGGAATGAGGCTCAGAGATATGTTATAAAGCAGCTTTTACTGTAAGAAAGCAGTGACTTTATTCTTCACACTGATTGCTTATAATATTAGAATTGTCTTAAATGATAGGGTGTTGGTCAGCAGTTACCTTGGGAAACAGTTCAAGTTTTCTTATGATTTCCAGGGACATAAGCAAGAAATGACCCAGGTCAAGTTAGTTTTACAAAA